ACACACACACAGACAGAGACAGGCAGCACGGGAGAATCACAGTCAACGTGTAACCTCTCAGTAGTGACATCCTGTCACCTTTGATGTACCCTATCCCTGAGAGGTCGCTCGGCCCAGCCCACACTCAAAGGGAGAGGGTTACACAAGGCACGGCCCAGTAGGTGGGAACGGGGGGACCCTGTCAGAGGCTGCCCACCGCATCCACCGCAGTGCGAGAACACCGTGCCAACAGCTCAGGCACTGGGGGCAGGGGGTCTGGTTCACCCTTCCGCATGAACACTTCGTAGTTATAATGATTTCATTCTTCTCAGTCTGTGTTCCCATCTGGCTAATGGGAATGATGACCATACTGCCTCCTTCCAGGGACCACTGTGAAAGTCAGGATAAAGGGGGTAACACGTCAACGCTTAGCAGGTGTCTGGCACAAGGTCAGAGCTCCGTGTTGGCTTTCGTCATCATAACCAAGTCTGTTTGTCATCTGATTTAGAGTTCAGACTCTCACGTTGATAAGCTGCGCAGTCCCAGGCAGGTTACCGAACTTTTCTGTGCTTGCATCCCCTCATCTGTAACGTGGGGACACTACCACCCCCTCACAGGCCGTTTGGAGGGCTGGGCGGTGATCACGTGGTTGGCGACCTACTGTCAATGGGTTCACTCTGCTTAGCATGAATTTACTCCTTTTTTGAGGTAGGGCTATCTGTTGTGCCTTCCTTGGCTCTTCTCTCAAATGGGGACAATCGTTCAGTAACTATTATCCTCCTTAAGTTTTCTAACTCACTGAGCATATCCATTCCTAATTACTGATTTAGGGATCATCCGTGTCAGAAGACAAAAACCACGTTGTAGAACGGGTGGGGCTCTTTGGAACAGATTTACTTTCTCGTGTCTAACTGAGGTCATCGCGGGAAGTTGCTCCTGTCCCCAGGTAAAATGGAGAGGAACTCCGGGCTGGCGGGGGAGTGCCGGCAGTAGTGGAAGGGACACTGGCCTCAGACACCGCACGGAGGACCCGCCCGAGGACGGGGCAGGAACCGGAGGCGCACAGAGGTGTGTTGTGACCTCCTGTCCCCATACCCAGGGCTCTCAGCCAGCAGAGGACAGCAGAACGTGAGCACCCACTGGACACGGAGTGTCCTCAGGTTCTGAAGGGGGACACAGAGGGACGCGACCCCCGGTGCTCCGAGCCTCAGCGACAGCGCCAGGCCCAGGACAGACTGCACACCGGAGCCGGAGCCGGAGCCGGAGCCGGAGCCGGGGTGGAGAGCGGGCTGGAGCCCCCAGGCCGAGGAGGAGGGGGGGAGCCCGGGCAGAGGAAAACAGTGCGCATGCAGCTTCTGGAGTGCGGGCAGCAGGCTGTGGCGGCTCCGCAAACAGGCCCCGAGGTGGGTGTGGAGAGGGGAGAGTGATGTGTGTATTCTAGAAAGAATCAGTGGCAAAGCAAAAGCCAGACTGAAAGTGAGGAGGGGGGCCAGAAGGCACCCAGCAGGCGGATGAGGGTACAGAAAGGGGACTCCGAGGAGGTAGGTAGAGAACAGCGACTAGGCTTGGTGAGTGTGACCGTGGCCGGGGATCAGGACGAGGGGGTCACACCATTTAAGGGGCAGAGCGGGGAGAACAGGCTTTGTGGGAAAGGTGACAGGTATGGCTTGGGCATACTATATCGGGACAGGTCGAAACAGCAGGCGACACAATCCAGGAGCCACTGAAGACACAGCAACAAGGCTGTGGAGACACTGGGTTTGGGCAGGGTTTGGGGAACGAGCCGGGGCCGCGTGTTTGCAAGCAGGGGAGTGAGGGTCCTCAGGGCGACAGCAGGTGAGACAGCAGAAGACAGAGTTTTGGGCAAATGACCACAGGACAGAAAAAGAGAACGAATCCTAATTCTTGTTTGGTTGGCAAGGAAGACAGAATGTGTTGGCGACAAATTCGGAGCCTGAGCCCGGGGGTGGGAAGGGCTTTTCCAGACAAACTCGGAGGGTCGGAGGGCAGGCGTGGGTGTGCAAGGGGCAGGGCGTGGAGCCTGGGCCTGGCTAAGCAGGGCAGGCATCACTGACTGCCAGGCTGTGTGGCCTCTCCAGGTGCCCCTTCTGTTCTCCAGGATGTCGCAGGAGATGGTGGGTGGCGGCAGCGGCTGACCTTTAGCCAAATCAGTACCTGTGGGCAGAGGCAGCACTATGACCCCAGGAGGCAGAGTGACCAGACAGCTCTCTCCAGCCTTCCCACCCCCTTGCTTGGACCTGGAAAACTCAGTTGTGTCTTCAATGGAACAACTTCCCTTCCACAGTAATTCAGGTAATAGTTTAAGTATAACCTCCTGTTCTCTTCAGCTTGCTGTCTCGACTGAGCCGAAACGTGTTACCTTGGTCCTGTCCTGGGCACAGAGACCTAGCTCTCCGGATCAATTCGCCTCGTGTGCCCTGACGGACTGAACTGGCCCTCCAGCCCGGCACCGCCTTAGGGAAACGAGCTGGTGAGCACGCGTGAGCTCCAGGGCCGGGCACGCGTGTTCGCAGATGAGGCCGCGGGGCGTCCGCACGAGCAGCGTCATCCGGCCTGTTCCGCTCAGGTGATCCGAGGCAGTCCCTGAGGTCACCTATTTTTCCTGTGTATCTATCAGCAAAACAAAAATCCCCTGCGTTCTGAGGAATATAACCAAGCACCACTGTCAATAGTTAACCGTTTATTAGCATCATTAACACATGTAATTCAACACAATGAAACAACTGAAAAAGGAAAAATCACCTTGGTAGGTCTGCTTTCTTGCTTCGTATTCGTGGTCCCCAAGGTCCCCAATGTATATTCTCTAGTTAGTCAGCTGCATGGTGCTCTTCCCCCATCATTATAACCGATTTCAGATGGTGCTAGAAAATTGTATTGACTCTGAACACCAAAAGAAATCAGTCATCCTCTAAGGGGTCCCGCAGGAGGCGGCGAGGGTGGCAGGACCCAAAGACGAATAAATCTGCCACAATTCAGCCCTCTAACTCACGCTCGATGGAGTGTGTGTCGCAGGAAAAGTACCATGGAAGGTTTATACACCAGTGAGTATGAGGGTCTGATGAGACACCCTGCGTAACAGTCGTTACACGTAGCCGCTGAACTGGCTACGTCGTCGGCAGGTTCCCACAGCCGCCGGTTCTGCTCGGGGCTGCCGGGCACCCTTCTGCTTGCTGGCAGTGCAGATGCTCTTCCCCAAGAACACTGATTTCAAATGGTGCTAGACAATCACTATTTAAATCTAAACCACCATATGAAACCAGCTTCCTGAGGAAGCTTTAGGATCGGGGGTTTTCCCTTCGGAATGTAATGAACTCAGACAACCTAGAAAGGAAAACATTAAAGCCTGGTTGTGAGCGCTTCACCCGCAGCCTAAACAGAGCTCCGGCAAACCTCAGCTGGCAGATGCGGACATCACCACCCCGGGGGCGGGCGCCCGACTCTCCTTGTCCCCCAGCTGCCGGACGCAGGCCAGTTCATCACCTGCAGGCAAGGGGCACACACGGGCCTCACTCGGGGGCAGTCAAGAGAGGTCGTTCACGCGGGTAAAGGAGCCCGAGCTCATCCCGGGCTCGGACACCGGGTGCAGGTGCAGGTGCCGAGAGAGAGGTGCCGAGAACCTCCTCTCACTCAGAGCTGTACAAGTGAGCAGGTGTTCTGGTAGGAGATGAAGAAAACTTCCCTCAGCTCCGCCTTTCACTGAGAGAACCGTGCTTGGTTAGAAGGAGCACTGTGTTTTCAGGGTGGAGGACAGCGGAACAGCTGAGGAACACACTGACGCCAACGAGAGCTTCAGTTTCCCAGGACGGGGATCCTCAGATGGATCTGCGGTTCGAGACTGCTCTCCCCTCCCCCGGTCCCCAGGTCCCCAGGCTCGGTGCAGTCAGTTCTCGGCGAATAGCTCGGCCGATTCTCTTCTGCCTCCCGCTGCGGCTCGGCATCGTCTCGGCCGCCTGCCGTCATTCCCCAGTGCTCCAGGGATCCGCGCATGAGCGAAGGTGTCCGGTCACCTCACCAACGGAATGCGCTTTCCTTTTAAAACTGTTACGAACAATCTTAGATATACGTTCAATGTGAACGATAATAAAGTGAAATCTTAAATTCATACCACCTAGACTCAACAATCATTCATTTTCGCCCACTGCTTTGGCCGGGTATCTATGTACAAGATACGCCTGGTTTCTTTGCAGAATCATTTGAAAGGAAACAGACGACCATCCGACACTCTACTCCTACCTCCTTGAGCGTATCTAAAAAAAATGAGGCCATCCTAAAAAATGCCAATTCTCAAAAAAACCCCAAAAAACCTTTTATAGTTTTGCATTTGTTTGCAAACCCAGATCCCATCAAGACTTAGACTCTTGGGTCTCTTTTCATCTAAAACTCCCCCCCCGCCTACTTCCTGTTTCACCACGACAGCACCACCCTGTGAAGATGGGCTCTAACCCTGGCTGTCCCCTTCACTCGGTCTGTTCTTCTGGCCTAAATGCATCACCAAGCTTTAGTTTCTCCTTCTGCCTTTCCTCAGGCGCCATCCTCACTTGCAATCCCGCTCTGAGTATGGGAAGAGCATCCCATTACAAGGTTCCCGTGGTTGATGTAAGTGGCTCAGAGGATGCTGGTGAGCCAGGAGGGCAGGCTGTTTGGCTGGGTCTGAGCAGGTCCCGGCACAAACTCGTCCCTCGCGGTGGAGAAGCGCCCACTGCACAGGCCTGCTGCTGCCAGGCTAGCCTTTCATCTCTGAACAAGGGGACAGGGCCCTGGCCGCTGTGGCTCAGCGGTTAGAGTGTCAGCCCGTGGACTAAACAGCCGCGGGTTCAATTCCGAACAAGGGCACGTGCCCTGGTTCAATGCCCAGCCCTGGTTGGGGTCGTGTGGGAGGCATCTGATCAATGTCTCTCTCTCGTATTGATGTTTCCTCTCTCTCCCCCTCTCCCCCCCCCATCTCAAAATCAATGGAAAAGTATCCTCGGGTGAGGATGACAAAATAATAAATAAATGAGGGGACAGACACGTGTGGCAGTCACTTTGTTGCAGATGCGACAGCCCGTCGCTGCACAGAAACCACACCCTCGCGAACTGACAGGCAGTTAACTGTTTGGCGGGAGACGTGAGCACTCGGATCCGGCGCAGAGCGGGGCCAGAGGCGGCACAGGCCCTCGGATAACCATTTCACTGACCGTGCGACTCCCTCCGGGCCCCTGCATCCCTCTGTAGGCGCTGCTGCATCGCAGCATCAGTGGCCGAGTCTGCAGGATGGAGCCAGAGCATTCCCCTCGGTGAAGAAACCTAAAATCCAGAACAAAGAGGTCTGCTAATTTTTATAAATGACTGGTCATGGCTTTTGCCGCTGAGGTATTTTCTACAAATGACACAGACACTTCAGTTACGAGGAAAAACATCTGCAGAAGGATGGATGTCTTTCTCTGACTGATGCTTGATAAGATCTTATCTCATACATCAAATGTATGTCACACCCACGCGTGTGCCTCCATGCACACCCCCGCTCTGCGCCCCGGGCAGAAACGAGCGGACGTGGCAGGCTGCCCTCCTACCCCGTGCGTGCGCGCTGCTCGGTCCACCGGAGCACGAGGATGGGGTCGTCCCTTCACGGGAGCCCAGGCTGACAGGCGTGTTCAGAGGAGGGACCCCGGCACACACTTCCCTGCAGCTTTTTAGCTCTTGGGGGGAAACTGAGGGACCCAGTTGGCGAGTAGCTGTAAAGTGACATTAACAAAACACACTGAACAGAGACCCTGAGTGTGGGCCTGTTTTCATATCATGTCCCACAGCAGGAGGCCAGATGTGCACAAGGAGACTGGCTACCAGGTTAACAGGAGGCAAAGCACCTGGGTCACGAGGGGAGAGATGAGCACGTCAGCTGACAAGCTGACAGGGGCTCGGGCATTCTCCTCCCAGGACACGCACAGGAAAGTGAGACGAGAGGCAGTGGTCCCTGCCGACTGCTGACTCTCTCAGGGCCACTGAGCCACAAGGAAAGACATCACACAGGTCATCAGCAGGTCCCCATGTCCCCACGCCCTCCAACCTCCAACAACCAACTTGATTGCTTTGTATTTTTAGGCCGGGACACGGCAGGGCTGAATTTCTGTAACTCAGGCTATTCCTGTTTCAAGCATCAACAACATTATGGTGCTGCATCATTTGATAGGAATGTTGTTTTATAACAACTCTTGCACACAGAACACACGCATAAAATGGTCCAACTCTCCATCTCCAGCTTGAAAAGAACCATCTCTGAGGCCAAATCCTTCTTCCTGTCACTCAGCCCACAAGGACGTGTCCCCATTCCAAAAGCCAGACTAGGTGGCACCACCATACTTTATGCTGCTTTTGAGTAAGTTGCCCTTCTTTGTACTTTGTCTTCCAAATCTGATAGCAAAGTTGAAGCATGAAATATGAATCAATAAACCACAACTCCTGTGTGGCAAAAACCGAACAATGGGAGAGCATTGTTTGCACTGACATGAGATGCCAGCCTGTTCTTGCATGAGCAAATCGGATGAGGACTGCCTCCCCGAGGCTGAGAATTTCAGAAGGAGATTGCATCTGAGATCACACCTCCTCAGGAACGTGGCTTCACAATGCTACACAATGCTACGGCCATCAGGATGCAACAGATGTAACCTGGAGATTTCAGTCAGATGGAAGAGGCAACAGTTACTGGTCTGGTGCTGGCTCAGACAGCTAGGTGTCCTTCTCTGCGCCTTGCATGCCTTCAGGGAATGTTTCTCACAGGAAGAAGATGAAAGGGTGCAGCATCTGCAGCTGCGGCTCAGGTTGAATCCCATCCGGCTGAGCTGGTTACTAGCTATGGGATCTTGGGTCATCGTCTGATTATCCTGAGCCTTGGTATCCTGACCCAGAGACAGGAGACACCAATTCCTATACTGCAGTGTGCTTAGGATCACATGAAATGCACTGTATGGAAACGGTCTATAACTTTTAAAGCACTAAACAGGCCCTGGCCGGGTAGCTCGGTTGGTTAGTGTCATCCTGATACACCAAGGTTGCAGGTTCGACCCCCATTCAGGGCACATACAAGAAACAACTGACGAATGCATAAATAAGCGGAACAACAAATCAATGTTTCTCTCTCTCTCTTCCCCTCCTTCCCTTCCTTGCTCTTTCAAAATCAATCAACCAATCAATCAATCAAAATTTAAAGCACTAAACAAACGTTGGCCTTTTTATTGGAGGGATCAGAACTCTAGCACCTTTCCAGGGGAAGGCCATGGAGAACTGAGAAGCGGATGGGAAGCACGCTAAGAACCAACAGCTTGCCCTGGCCGGTTTGGCTCAGCGGTTAGAGCGTCGGCCTGCGGTCCGGAGAGACCCGGGTTCGGTTCCCGCTAAGGGCACGTGCCTCGGTTGCAGTTTGTCCCCGGCCCTGGTTGGTCGTGCGGGTGGCAGCCACTCGATGTGTCCCTTCACGTCGATGTTTCTCTCTCTCTCTCTTCCTCTTTCTCCTTCCCACTCTGTCTGTGCAAAAAATGGGAAAATGTCCTCGGGTGAGGATAAAAAAAAAAAAAAAAAAAAAAAAAAAAAAAAGAACCAACAGCTTCCTCTTACCCTGCGCGACACTGCGCTGTGTGCTTCCTGCTCATTTCCTCAGCGTGCACAGCCACTAACGAGGCTGGCGGTTGCCTCCGTCGTCCAGGTGAGGGACCAGAGGTTTATGGAGAGTACATGACTTCTGTTGGTCGCAGAGTTTACGAATGGCAGGACCAGGATTCAAACCAGGCTTTTAGTCATGCGGCTCAGGGATTTAAAGACACTAACAACTGATCTTCACGTGGACTTCTGAGCATAAACTGGCCCCAGGTTCAGGGCTTCACCACTAAGCACCGAAACAAACCATTCAAACCAGCTTTGGTTCCGATGAGCAGCAGCAGCACCGGACAACCCACCAGGAGGAAGGAGAAATCCGGGACATGAGCAGGGCTTTGCCAGCACTAAGGGGACTCTGGGCCACAGTTCTGACTTGCAGTGAGACCTTAAGCAAGTCACACCTTCTCCAAAGCCCTGTTTCCCACTCAGCTCCAGGAGGCTCAAATCACAGAGCAAGGCCACTGGTTAAAAGATCCCACGGGCGACTGTGACGATGCTAAAGTACCGTCTCCGGACAGAGCCAGGGTCTCGCCTCCTGCTCTCTGCTTCTGTGGCGCCATGTGGCGAGACGTCTCGCGCAGACTCCCGGAGCCAGAAGAACCCTGCAAACAGCTCCAGCACAACTGTGGGTGCATCACCCCAACGCCCTGAGCCGCGGTCTCGTCTGCAAGATCAGGTGGTAACAGTACCTACCACAGAGGGTCGGGTGTGAATAAGGTAAGACAAGGTGGTGCAACTGGAACTAGGAACAGCACAATGTCAACACCCAGTGACGGCCAGCCATGGGGACAGCAGCCCTGTCACCTCTCCCTCAGCACGTGTGGCTCTGAGATCCGCCATGGCGCATGAACGACGTGCCGCACACCAGCCCCACATTCTGCCGGACGCTGGCCCGTCCCAGAGTGGCTAACTGCAGAGGCGTCTGCCGAACCCTCAAATCTGAAGATGCCCTCTGGTCTACAAACGGCACCTCTGGCTAATTTCACCAAAATAAGTGTCTTTAATATTTTCTGCTGCTTCTCAGAAGTTTTCTAAGGCTCGAGGATGGACCTTCACCCTTGCTTTGAAGCAGGAGGTTGTGCTGTGGACTTCTTCTGATATTAAATGGGGGGCTGAGTGTTTAAAAGAAAAGGAACGGAGACCAAACCCTGATGGCCATTCGAAAACAATTTACTGGGGAACCGTCCAGGAACAAACTCAGACAAAACCCCCGAGGTTGGCTTCCGAGCACGAGCCTCCACTGGCAGGGCTGAAGAGCAATGTGCTGACAGGTGTTCCCGGCACAAACCCTCAGGAGGCGCCTGCTGGGGGATGCGCCCTCAGGAAACCCCCCAGAACAACGGGAAGTAAGGGTCTGTTGTTTTTCCTCATTACTGTACCAATGTCAGGAAGAGATGAATTTTTTAAAACAAGTAAGAAGCACCTTGCCTTTCCTGCTTAGGACACAGAGTTGGGGAAAGTTGCGGCACAGTGAGCGGCGCACACGCTGGCCTGTTCTCTGCCCTGCGGGGCTGCTGCTAAGAATAATCTGTCGATACCAGGCCATGCATGTCACAGGTCATCGAGGTTTGACTGGCAAGAAGTCTTGTGAAATAAAACATGGCATCAACCTATAGCTCCGATCACAGACGACAGGCACGAAAACAGCCTGCACAGAAGAGAACGTTCCTATTTTCAAAATTGATTTTGCAACCTCCTGTGGCAGCAGCACAGACACTGGAAGGCCAGCAGAGGGCAGCACTAGCCTGTAAGTGCCATCTTCTCTTACTACCTGGGAAATGAGGCGGAGGACAATTGAGAGCTGACACCGGAAGGCACCGTCACACGAGAGGAGGCCCTGTCACGAGGGCTTTGTTTCTGAAAACTGATGGTTCAAGGGAATATTTTATTCTTCCGCACATGGGACCTGCCACAGCAACTGTGCCTTTGTAGCAGCACCAAGGAAGGTTCCTCACAAGGGGCTTAAGTCTCCAAGCTCCCATTTCCCAGAAGAGGAGGCTGAGTCAACGATGAGATGGAAGAAAACTGTCCTGACAAGTTCCCACTGACTGCAATTTCTAGCTAATGATTACAACTCCACAGGGGAACGGAACGCAGCCGGGGCCACGGAGCAGGCCACGCTTACCAGCGGACAGGGTGCTGGTCTAATACGTGATTCAGAACACACTGTGCTTCTTAGGCACGATCTTGAAGCCAAGTGCGGCCAGACGTGTTCTTCAGTGATGATGCTCATGCACTTGAAGATTCTACCAGAACACGGACACGACACGCTGGGGAGATTCTGGACAGCTGAGACTGACCGGTAAGAGCAAAGCCACAGTCAACAGTGTCTTACAACAGAAAAAAAGACATCGGAAAAAATCTAGCTGAGAAGCACAAGTGGGAAGGGACAGCTCTCAGGATAGTCATAAGATGCAAACCAACGTGGAGTTGTCACATATCACGTGGTTCTGGAGTATTTAAATACCACTACGAAACAACAGCGTGTTTCCAAAACCGCCTGGTCGTGAACACGAGGAGAGGCCCTTCCCAACAGTGACGCAGATGTGTCCCACGCCAGGGATGCCCAGGCTGCTTGCCGGGAGCTGGCCGGTGCCTGGGGAGTATCTGGAACAGGTCACTGAAGCTGCTGGAAGTCCTCCTTCAACGAACCTTCT